GTTTCGGGCTGACCAAATCACGCACGTGTAACCAAGACACCATGTCGTGAGGGCACATGAGGCACGAGACGAGCAAACTCACAACGCACATGGTCGCACACACGCACACACACACACACACACACACACACGCACACACACACGCACACACATATACACACACCCTGGTCTTACCAATGGCTCATTTGCCAGACAACCAAGTGCTGCACCCATGTTGTGCTGTCGTAGCTGTGAATGTGAAGGGTGTTTGTCGCTGTCGCGATCGCGGTTTGTCACACGGATAAGGGAGTTGGGCCGAGCCGGAAGAAAAAGGGAGTGTGTCAAGGACACGCACGCACACCAAACAATTAGGTTGATAAAATGAGCTGAGCACAGCGCCACTTGCTTCCTGAGCCAGTGAGAGAGAGAGAGAGAGAGAGAGAGGGAGGGAGGGAGGTGGAGAGGGAAAGTTTGGGTTGGCTGCTGTCGATCATGTATGAGCGATTGCGGCAATGCAGGACTGCAGGTAGGCTGTTGAGGGCGGGAAAGGCGGCTTCGCCAGGATGGTCTCCTGTGCGACAAATCGGCACTGCAGCTTGTTCTTCTAAGTCGGTGGCGTCGGTGGCGTCGATGTTGTGAGGTGAAATGTGAGACACCACACTCGGATTCCTGGAATGGAAGCTCGCGACTTACGAGGCGGTGATGTTGAGAGTGCGCCAGCAAAGCACACACTTCAAGCAAGCAAGCAAGAGTGCGAAGGGAAAAACAAACCCCAAAGTCGCAGAAAATTATTGACATCATTAGGGAATCATCGTGCCTAAACCATGACGAGGCAGCATGCTTGCGTTTGGATGGGTTGTTGTGTGCTTTGTGGCGTGCTCTGCATTGTGTGGGACACCTTTGTGTGAAACACCTTTGTGTCTGAGGCTTTGGTGCGTTTGGATTGTGGGTGGGTGTGCAAGAGCTGCGAGTAGTTGCATGGTGGATGGGGTTTTTGAAAGTTTCCTTCGAAACAGCAACGAAGCGATGATACACGCATGAATGGAGGAAGCACAGACTGAATGGAAACAAACGTGCGTGTGTTTGTGTGTTTGTGCGTGAAGAACGTTTGTGTGGAGATGGTGGCTGGACGTGCTTGGACACCACGCCATCACGCTTCCTCCACAACACCTGCCCTGTGAATGACAATATCCTCCGTCGGCCTGTCAAACAGGGCAGTGGTGGTGGTGGTGGTGGTGGTGGTGCAGGCGTAAGGGGGCACGAAAGCAACGCGAATGTATGTTGGAGCATCAAGCGTACATTCGTTAGCAAGTCAGATCCATAGACGGGGCATTCACAGACGCACGTATATTAACCGACGCATGCAGAAATGCATTCATTGCAAAGACATTACTGACACACGCACAATACACAACACACACACACACACACACACACACACACACACACACACACACACACACACACG